ATGTCATGTTGTTCCCTCTACCGTTTTATACCTTGATATGTCATGATGTTCCCTCTACTGTTTTATACCTTGTTATGTCATATATATTTTTTTTAAATATTTTGTTTTCCCCAGCCAAATATTATATATATAATACTGATAAGTATATACAGATATATAAATAAAATGATAGGAACTGCCAGGGTTGGGGAGCCCTGGAGTCAGTCTCCTAAACAATATGGTGTCCTCACACAGGAGGGCTCTCGCCCATTTTTCTCTCTGCTAATTTTATCTAAATTCAAATATTTCAATTTCATAACATTTTTTTCATCTATATAACATTCAGAAATTTGATTGGGAAATAAAACATTTGTACATAGAGTATTGGACATCTACAGAACAAGAACATACTACATACCACATGTCACACGCATCCAGACGTGTTTACATATACATGTACAACAGTATCATCATCACTAAACATAAAAAAACACTTATACACACATATACATACACATATACATACATGTACGTACATAACATACACTCCTACGACCTCCATACGTACACACATACATGCATACACATGCACGTACATACGCATTTACATCAGCAAGTATGCATGCACCCACATACGTACACATGCATGTAAATACAAACATACATGTCCATTATTGCATGTATCCATATAAGCACCAGAAAATACATATAATGTTGATGCACTCTACTAACCCGTATTGTGTTTGTTTTTGGAGAGAAAAATATCAATCAACAAAACGACAAATTGTAGTATACAAAAAAATCTCAAAATAAATCCTTCCATTCCATCCATCTTTGATCAAATGTTTCATTGTATATTTTTTTTACTGATAAAGCTTTCTCAATATTATATCTGAATGCAAGAAACTCATTCAAACCATTTAAACTTAACTTCTGTTTTTTTCTGAAACAGTATATATATAATATTTTGTATACAAAATTATATAGTTAATGGGCATAGGAGCATTTTCAGTAATTCCAAAAAGTATTGTTTCCAACTTAAAATCAATGATTTTCCTTATTCTGCTATATAATCTCTCTTTTAAATCTTGCCATAGCTTTAAGGGCTGTGAACATTCCCAGAATAGATGTTCTGTAGTTTCTATTTGTATTTTACACATATTACAGATATTGTCATTTGACATTCCAATAGTCTTTAAATAGTTTTTAATTGGGAGGAAACAATTTTGTAATCTGTATTGAAACCATTGCAGTGTTGTGTCTTTTGTAACTTTAAAGACAATACTATATGAACTTTTCCAATCTATATTTCTAAAATTTTCTTTCAATACCCATTTTCTTTCTGCTGTATTTACTAATTTAATTTTACTATTTAATATGTCATACATGTCTTAACAACCTTTTTTTCTTTATGATAATATAAATATGACTTGGTATGAATGGCCTCTCCAAAGTTGTTTCTGCAATTAAGTTATAATTTTATTGTTTACAACATTGCCTAAAAGACTGGCATATACTATGGTAAATCAAGAAGTTTCCAGAGTTTATATTGTATTTCAGTTTAAAATTAAAAAAAATTAAAAAAACGTTATTTTGCTCTAATAGATCACAAACATTTTCAACATCCCGATCAAACCATTTTCGGACAAAAAAAAAGACTTCTTGCCAGTAACAAAAAGTGGGTTATACCGGATAGGGAGAGTTAAGAACTGCTTAATATATTTTACTTGTGTTACTTCTGAAACATTTACCCATGTCTTAAAAACATCCTTCCAAAACATATTACTAGTCTTAATTTTTTTAATAAAATCAATTCCCATATCTGATATATTTTCTACTGGAAAGTGCTCTGCTTAAAAAATATGGATCCAGCTTTTACTATTATTTTTCAGTAATCTTCGTATCCAAGTGGACTTCAAACTAGAAATGAACTAATTGATGTTATGTCATGTTGTTCCCTATACCGTTTTATACATTGTTATGTCATGTTGTTTCCTAAACCGTTTGATACCCTGATATGTCATGTTGTTCCCTCTACCGTTTGATACCCTGATATGTCATGTTGTTCCCTATACCGTTTTATACATTGTTATGTCATGTTGTTTCCTAAACCGTTTGATACCCTGATATGTCATGTTGTACTCTCTACCATTTTATACATTGTTATGTCATGTTGTTCCCTCTACCGTTTGATACCCTGATATGTCATGTTGAACTCTCTACCATTTTATACATTGTTATGTCATGTTGTTCCCTCTACAGTTTGATACATTGGTATGTCATGTTGTACTCTCTACCGTTTGATACCCTGATATGTCATGTTGAACTCTCTACCATTTTATACATTGTTATGTCATGTTGTTCCCTCTACCGTTTGATACCCTGATATGTCATGTTATATCCTCTACCGTTTTATACATTGTTACGTCATGGAGTTCCCCTTGCCGTTTAAAACCTTGTTATGTCATGGTGTTCCCTTACCGTTTTAAACCTTGTTGTATCATGGTGTTCCACTTACCGTTTTAAACCTTGTTATGTCATGGTGTTCCCCTTATCGTTTTATACCTTGTTACGTCATGTCGTTCCCCTTACCGTTTTATACTTTGTTATGTAATGTTGTTCTACCTACCTTTTTATACCTTGTTACGTCATGTCGTTCCTTTTACTGTTTTATACTTTGTTACGTAATGTCGTTCCCCTTACCGTTTTATACTTTGTTACGTCATGTTGTACTACCTACCGTTTTATACCTTGTAATGTAATGTTGTACCCTCTACCGTTTTAAACCTTGTTATGTCATGGTGTTCCCCTTACCGTTTTATATCTTGTTACGTCATGTCGTTCCCCTTACCGTTTTATACCTTGTAATGTTATGTTGTACTCTCTACCGTTTTATACCTTGTTGTATCATGGTGTTGCCTCACTAATTGTTTTATATTGGACACTCATTGGGATGCTTTGCCCTTATACATTCCCTTAGCTTTGTAGGTGAAGTGGGGATTTAATAATCTTAAGGTTCCAAGTTTGACCCCAGCAGTTTTCTTGTTTTCATCAAACCATTAAATTTCGAATGAGTAAAGTTCTGTAAAATATGTTTTATGGATTGTTTTTTTTGCAAAGGACTAAACAAAATCTCACAATAGCGACAACGATAATAACACAGTGTAACGTGTGGTATACTACTTACTGAGTAGAACTACAAACAGGAGCTTAGTGTCTACATGGTCAGTGCTTTTGATCGACGGCATTGTTATCCATAGAACACGGATTAAGTTTCTAAAATAATCGTTGAAATGTTTGGATTACAATTGTATCTAACACTGAACCACAAACTATGATAAACCCTTTGTTTGGTTTGCGACTCAATGGATGTAGCTGATGCCATAAGACATGCATCCCTATGTTACAGCATCCAAATTGTGAATCTGTTTCAAATGATTGAACTGTTACATTTGTATTGACGAGTATACAGTGTACTGACATGTCAAGGCCTAAACAACATTAAATAATTTGATAACGTACGTTGCGCCCATAAATATATATCTTTTATTGTTTTCTTTTCTACTAAGGTCCAGTTTGCCGTTGTAGTATGTATACCAGGTAAGTATACCATATACAGAGGGCACTTTGACGTTGATTTTTAGAAGGGTCATGTGAGCTTATGTCGTACTGCGGCGTCCGTCCGTCCGTCCGTCCGTCCACTTTTTCTTTGAGCGACTTCTTCTGAAGAACTTAAGAGCCTAAGGTTTTGATATTTGGCCTATAGGTACCTGGGATGGAGTGCTATAAAATTGACTCATTAAAATGACCTCGACCTACATTCAAGGTCGCAGGGGTCAAACATGTTAAAAACTTTGACAATCTTCTTCTCAAGTTTCATAAGGCCCAGGGTCATAATATGTTGCCAGTAGGTATCTGGGATGGAGTGCTATAAAGTTTACTCATTAAAATGACATTGACTTACTTTCAAGGCCACAGCGGTCAAATATGTCAAACGCTTCAAACCACTTCTCCTGAAGAACTAAAAGGTATAGAATTTTCATATTTGGCTGGTGGCTTCCTGGGAAAGAGCCCGACAAAGTTTGAGAATGAAAATGACCTTGACTTACTTTCAAGGTCACAGCGGTCAACAACATTTCAAACAATTTGTTCTAAAGAACCGAAAAGAATGGATTCATAAGAATTGGCTGGTAGCTTTTTAGGATAGAAATAACAAAGTTTGAAAAGGAAAATGACATTGACCTACTTACAAGGTCACAGGGAAAAATATGTCAAATAACTTCTGAAGAAAAACCAAAAAGTATAGAATCTTATAATATTATTTGGCTGGTAACAACAGATGGAGCCGACAAAGTTTGCGAAGGAAATATTTGTAGTGCAATATAAAATTTAATGAGAATATTTGGCTATGAATGCTTAAATATTCAGGTGAGCGATACAGGCCCTCTGGGCCTATTGTTCATTCAGTACCTCTGAGGAGTTTTTTCTTTGCTCGGCTTTATGCAACAACATACTGACTAGTTTAATAGGTTCTTCCAAACTGCCTTAGTATTTTGGTTTCCGTCACAAGGCCCCGATTGAATGCTACTGGACTATCTGTCCCCGAGATTCGCTGTGACCTTGTAGATGGAATCGATGTTAGCATACTTTAGCATGATTTGCATGAAAAATAAGTTTAATAATAAATTATCTGTCGCACCCAAGATAATTGTAAAATGTTTTTCAGCACCTTTGTCACTGTTATATATATCAGACATTCTCTTGGTTCACACAGTACCAGGTCCTCCAACCGAAGTAGTTGTGAGTCCCCGAACCTCCAGTGTAACGCTGACAGTAACACTGCCAACCAACTGTCCTGGCTGTGAGTCTGTCATAGTGAATTACTCACCTACTGGAGATACAGCCATGACAACAACATCAACTCAACAATGTGACCAGCAACCTTGTAATATTCCTACAGAAGACCTAACGGCGGGTACCTGTTACAGCTTCACAGTCTATACTCGGGGATCTAATGGGAACAGTACAACGGGTATACACACAACAGGCTGTACACGTGAGTATATGAGGACGTTAAAGTTAAGGACGTTGTGTCAGTTTCGTTGCTTTTGAATAACAGCAGTTTTTGATGCAAAAATTATAACAGTACAAAATTCACATATCTCTAGTATTTAATTTCCTACGCTCTTTGAAAATATTACAAAAATTCTATTCCCGCGTAAGTTTTGAGAAAACAATATCGCGATAAAAGTAAAAAAGAAATATAAGATTTTAACTCTACTAAATTTAATAAGTCGCTCCTCTTTCTCCAGTCTTCGTCAGCGTCATACATTACAGTATGTTTGTTGGAGATCAATTTTGCAATGAATATCATAACTTCTGCCCACAGTAAATCTGATAACTAAATATCCATACATAACATTAGCTTCTTATCTGTCACTCTTTTCCTGAAATTTGACATTGTCACTCACACGTGAAATGGTAATCCCATGCTCTGGTATTGTACCCCTTTCAACAAATAGAATATGACACTCTACAAGAAAGTGTACAGCAATATCAACAACAGTTTTACCACACATACAATACAATTGACCACAAAAGGTTCAAATACAAAGTATTAATACGATAGTTCAGATACTTCCGACTTTTCTTTAGCATTAGATTGTGACAGCATCTACTGCCGAGGAATGTCTAGGAATGTCTAGTTGTGTATGGCGCTCGAAAAGATAAGAAAGCCATCCATTTCTTACAGAGCTCTCTCCATTGTTGTTCGCGTGATGGAATGACTCGGTTCACGAACGTTTTTTTTCGCGAGATATTTAATCAGGTTTCCTCCTCTGCATTGTATGTTATGAAGAAATATTTTATGTTATTAAATGTCGTTTTCAATGCATGTCGGATATGAATCCTAGTGTTTTGACGTTTTTGTGGATGTATTTCGTGAAATTTTTCTGTGTTAAATAACCAGCATATTATTTGAATTTTCGAAAGGGATTGGAGCATTTATCATACTTATGTAAACGGACACCCAAAAGAGCTAATGACTGCAAACACATATGTCCGCAACGATAACATGTAATAAAGCTCAAATATAGTATTATACTATTATCAGTGGATACATTATGCGTATTAGGAAATACAACGAATACATCAAATTTAAGGGTTGAACATTACATACTACTACAATATACTTACTGTCTTGAGGTTCAGTCTGCATTTTGGAATGCCACTGAAAATAACATGATAAGTATACTAATGGTATAATAGTCATTGCGTATTACAATATTTACTATAATCATTACACTGTTCTCCCGAATCAGTTAAGTTAATGGTATGAACTACATGTATTGTATCAAGATTGTAACAACTCTGTGCTATATTCAAGAAAGAGTAAGAAAGGTTATCCTGTCGCAAGTAGAGTCTAGTGCTACCTTCAGTATAGGACTTGTGATCGTCAATAAATCCTTAAGTTTACATATTTAAAACAGAATATATATATATTTATGATATAAATTCTTTTTAAACAGCATCGTTTTACTTACTTCATAGAAGGAACTCCATCTTGCTCCCAGTGTACACAATGAAAAGTTAAAAAGTACCGTCTAATCCGTGAGATTTATGTTAAAGGTAAATGAAGTTCATTGGAATAGCATACTCTGTTCTGCTCAGCCCTTGGAATGTGACCCTACTTACATTTCTCCTTCCTCCCCCAATGCTTATTTTGTGAAAGTAAAATGAGTAAACAGCCATGCATGAATTGACAAAGTGTCATGACAGTTACACTTTTTACAAAATGTGTAAAATGCCCACTTATAATATGGCAAACTGTCAGACAAAACACTTTTTACTAATATGAGTGTTCTGTCGTCCGCTATCAGCCATCGTATACATCAATATGTATTGGCCAATCATAATTGCTTCCGGCATTTCGACTTTGTTGACAACAAAAACACGTGTACCAGTTTACCTTTTTCTTGCGATCGAGTTGTTTTCGTGATTATAATGGTAATAAGCGCTCTCAATATTATAGTTATTTTCATATTGCTAATTACTGAGAGAAATATATACAAATCCAACGTGCTAACTTACTTTGTGTCTGCTAAAATATCACTCCGTAACCAATGTTTACATTTGATCAAATTAATCGGAAGTAATTTTGATTGGCTCATGCGCCCTATTGTTAAAGGCAAAATGGCTGTCGATGTGAGCAGTCGAAATCACCTCAATTGAATAAAACGATGTAGCGTCCATAATGTATCGAGTACGGACATGACATCTAGTCAAGTGAGTGAAAAATGAATCAACTGAAATAGAGGTATAAATATTTTCTCTAACAAACATGTAAAACTCTCACAATCGCTGTCGTCCGATTTAGATGACAATACCCGCATTTTAAAGAGCAGTCGATAGCTGACCATAAACAGGCGACCGATCAGAGCCTGCGATTATGGTCAGTTTTAGCGGACTACATTATAACCAGATCATACCACAGGAATCATTACAAGTGTAATCGTATTTAATTTTAGTATAACACTTGTTTCAGTTCCAGGAAAGTCGAGTAAAAGAATGGATAAACAGTCCAATAGGGAACCGTGAAATTGTCTGTTCATTGCAACTTCACATCATAAACAAACAACATTGTTTTAGCGGATATAACTACTACGATGTAACCTCGAGTGTATTCGAGTCGTGTAACATGGAGTGTGTTTATACGTGCGTCACCCTGGTAAAATACTAGCCGCTTCCTGCCGACTCGGCTAGGGAGAATTTCTTTTTAGTTCATTCAGTAGAGTGTAAGACTAGTAAGTCTGGGGTCCCGGGTTCGACTCCTAGCGGAGGCATTGACAAAAATAATGTCCTATGTTACACGTGCAACTTCGGGTGTGTTAGTTGCTTAGAACACTTTCATTAATGTTTAATGAAATGCGAACTGTACTGTAAAAAGGATATATATTCAGACGACAGGTTTCAATACTATAATTATAGAGGATATAACATTCGTGTCCATATCATATTGAATTTGAACAAGTTTAATAAATGCAATATGATACGGACAGGAATGTAACTCCTATTTATTACATAACATTCATAATTTGAAAAAGAAATAAACAAAATTATGTGTTATGCGAAATGCAAAGAAGTTCCAGATTAAAGATAATAAACAGTTTGAAATGCAATGAAAATACTTATGACAAAATAATATTTGAAATTTATTTAAAATAACAGTAAAAATTACATATGGTATAGTAACCTATATATGTTATACCTGTACCTGTACCTGTTGTTGCGAAGGAATATATCCCCATGGTTTTGACCAATCGCAGCACCTTTAGGTTTTATTACACGTGTGTAATACCATATTTGTGTCATGATCGTATGACACAGTAAGATGGGTCAGTTATGTGATAAATGTTAATACATTTTCTTCGCTGACTAGTGTAATTTCTGTAATGGTTACGTGATGTTTTTTGCGAGTCAAGTATGTTATTCGTTGTTTACTTAACTCATGAACAAGTCGCTAAATACAAAAGAAAAATAGAAAGAAAGTCTTAAATACTAAGAACAATGTATCATAGGAACGTTACTGACACACTGATGGTTCTGCTGTATCTTTGTTTATCTTTGTCAGGCGATGTTGTCTTTCCTTTTGCTTCTTTGTGTCTTCATGATTCCTGCTTTGCCTTTAAGAAACTTATACTACAGTACATAGTTTTTTTCGACCTGTTTACATGTTACGAATTGGTTACTTTATTTCTTCTGGAAAAAATGTTAACGTTTGTATTAAGGTGATACTTCCCAATTGTCTTACATCCTATTGTACCTGTGTTAGTATGTCATTAGGAGATTTGTGTCCTTAATTTGTGCCCTTGATTTGTGTCCTTGACAGTCTTTGACTGTAATGCGCTTGCGCTTGTAATATGTAAGGTTTCACGTTGTCAGGGAAGCATTACCCAATCAAAATTGTAGACTTGCATTCATCCTTATTAAAACTACAAAGATATGAATTATCTGTAAACTTGGACGGTCGTCTACGTTTATGCCAATTGACTAAAGCATTGAATGAAACAAGAATGTACAAAAGTAACGGCATGGATCATGCAAGGAGCATGCTCCTTTTGAAACACAAAAGGATTAATACAAGTATTCAAAAGCATACCAATGTTGACTGCATTCAATTAACTTTTTGGCGCCCCCAATGGCTGAGGGCGGGGCTAAAAGGGGTCAAATTGGCTTAAATTAAAAATCTTATCCAGACCAAGATATGCTGGAAACAAATAATCTACATAGATAGAAGGGTCTTAAAACACTTTATCCCTTGGGGATGGGGTAAAGTTTACTAAAGTTATATAGAAAAATGATGCTTTTGGGTATATTTGGTTCATTTCCAATTGGAAAACATTGACACTTGATAGACATTATAATTTCGAAATGACAGTTTGATACTATGACAGTTTGGGCTTTGGCCGTCTTGGAATTCTTCTCCAGACTCAGATATGGCTTCATTGACTTAAGTACTATCCCTACTAAGCAATGTCTGACACATGCACAGAAGCAAAAATATTATTTCAAGAAGAATAAATTGGAAAGAATAAAAATAATGGCGTACACATCCATAGTGTTATATTATAAATTACTTTGCCAAAGGCCTGATTGTTTGTCGTTTATCATGTTAATTTTAACATTATTAACGAAATATGCGACCCTTTATCACAAAAAGCTCAAAACAAATATCTTTCTCATATCAACTGGTGTTAAATTTAGATGATGTAGTCAACTCACAATTTTGTAGGGCTGTAACGATACACCTATGCCACGATACGATACGTATCACGATATCTACCCACGATACGATACATTTTGATACGATACAGGATGATGAAATGTTATGCTTCCTCTTCAAATGCGTCGCCATGTTTGATGTGTTCCCTGACTTGTAACATAAATCTACGAAACATATGCGGCAAGTGGAGAGTGATTTTCCATCGGGGATGACATTTAGCAGGAATCAAAAATGCTGCCAAACAGGCGAGCGAAAGGAAGCGGGAGTTTTTTTTAACCCTTTATGCTGCTACATTGATTTCTATGTAAAGGGACACCACTGCTGAATTAATTATTGAAATACAAATTAATTTACTTGATTTTTCAAATGTGCATAACTTGAAAAATATATGTTATATGTGCATAAAAGTTATATGAAAATTGTTCGTTATTGTCTCTAGTTTACATTAACGTTTTCAATTCTAACGTTGCTTCAGTATTTACCTGTACAGGTGGTAAGAAAGGTAAGAAAGGGTGGAACTTTTAATTAATCGGATTTAAGCACCAGAAAGATCATTTTAAAATTATTTTTGTCAGCAAATGTGATTGGCAAATGATATCAGAGATTATAAACTTCATTTATGACATAAGACGCTGTACATTTACACGGAGATTATCAGGTAAATAGATCAGGTATTTCATCAAGAATTGCATGTGATTTGCTACAGGTTTCAAGTCGTCATTCGATATATTTACTGTCACAGTCGGCATATAGTATAGATATATATTAGCTACGGTCTAGTTTATGATTACTTCATCGATATATAGTTTGAAGAAATCAATCGGCTCAAAACGTATCAATGTCAATGTTCAATTCGGCCTCACCTGGAGACGACATGTGCGCCTCGGTCCGCCGATATTTTCATGTTTGCGTAGGGCACAAAGTCGTTCATTGGAAAGTTACATATTATGTTACACCGAAGTATTTCCACATCAACCATGTCAAACCCTTCAAAACCTTTATTATCATCGTAGGTGACGCTGGAAAATAAATGTTTACGTTACACATGTATGGTTAAATTCCGGAAGTCAGGTAATACTAAAAACCGAACCGAACCGAAACACGGAAAAAATACCGTAAACCGAACCGAAGCAATTTAGCGCGGTTTTCGGTGCACCGCGGTGTATCGTTACAGCCCTACAATTTTGTATTTTGTTACCATTTAGTTGTATATAATTTATGTTCAGTATAAATAGATGCAAAGCTTCCAAATGGCAAATTACAATACACAAAATCTCTTCATTGTTGAATCAATATATTAGATATTTGATAGGACAGCTGTTTTCTTTTTAGCCAGTAACTTTACTCAAATAAACCCCAAAAAAATCCAACAGTTCGTTCTACTGTAATAGGAAACAAAGAAGTGGAAAGATGAGGTGCCACAGCTGGGATCGAACCCACGACCCCAGGTTCTGGAGGTCAACGCTCTACCACTGAGCTAAATGGACATGTCCTGTCAGCTGACTGACAGAACCACTATTTGTACATAGTACATATACTACCTAGATCTTTCACACTACTTTTGCATTACATGTAGTTCAAGTTACCTTTGCTACAAAATGATTTCTTTTTCATTTTGCAACATTGATAACATCAGTTTTTGCATAACTCTGGTGACTGCTAAGGCCCATGGGCCTCTTGTTTTATATACACTGACGTGTATCAGGAGACAGGCTTGTTTCCTGTTCCTTAGAATGATAACACATTGCCATAAGTCATTTTTGACCATATTTCCTATTTTTTACAAGTTTACTATCTAAAGTTCAAGTTTCTAAACTACATATATTAGAGTGGTCTGGAGGCACAGTGGATAGCGCCCTTGCCTTTCAGGAAGACGGCAGGGGTTTGATTTCCAGATCGGACGTGAATAGGTATGGGGTCACCCGCCCGATCACGTGGGGTTTTCCGGGTACTCCGGTTCCCTCCCACATTTAGACCCCCGCGCGCTAACGTCCGTGCCAGCAACAATGATTTATATAAGTTGGAATTGTTGCATTATTGTCATAAAATAAATAAAATAAATATTAAACTATATATAAAATCACCGTAGAATGTTTTCCTTCCAAAAATCGTCATATACCAAGGTCTGTAATAAACTATTATACATACAAAGGTATAGAAGTATTAATATTTAAGTCATTCCATACATAACTAATATCATTTACTATTTCAGAACCAAATCCCCCTGGTTATGTTTCCGTTAATGCCCAACCAACTTATGCTGTCACACTGGACACCACGTCACCAGCAACAGGAGGAGTCGATTACTATAATGTCACGTTTACCGATTCGGACGGCAAGACGGAGACACGACGTACACCAACCAACGACACGTTATATATAGTAGATGGACTCACACCTGGATACATCTATACCTTCAAAGTGGTATCTGTGTATAACAGCCTGGCCAGTATACCGTACCAAAGTGTACCAGCCTCTACAGGTTAGTTACACGTGTATCATGACCTGGCCAGTATACCGTACGAAAGTGTACCAGCCTCTACAGGTAAGTTACACGTGTATCAGGACCTGACCAGTATACCGTACCAAAGTGTACCAGCTTCTACAGGTATGTTGAACGTGTATCAGGATCTGACCAGTATACCGTACACAGGTGTACCAATTACAGGTAAGTTAAATGTGTATCAGGATCTGACCAGTACATGTGTGAATATACTATGATCTTAAACAGTTTTATACAATACAGCTGTTTTGGCAGATATTTCCAGAAAAAAAAGACTGATCTTTTTTTACTTTGATATGTATATATATATAGATATATCCGATCACGCATGAATATGTATCGATAAATCAGAAACCGGTTACAATGGATAAGTGATTAGGTTGATCAGATACGTGTGGCAGTTAACTTGTAAGCATGTATGTCATATTCGTCAGGTTGATTTAGTATGAAACAATAATTGAAAACTTCTATATGAGACGCTGGCGACCATTGATTACTATATATAGAAGATACTGATGACCATGGATTCAATTGATGTTTGTATAGTGTTTGAACGAATCCATTCGTACATGCGTTTATTTCAGACTTATATTAGAGCGGTTTTTTAAAATGAACATTCCAAAACATCTTAATAAAATATCAAAGCATTTTAATTATCAATATTAAATATTTTACTATGCTTATATTCATGGTTAGATTTTTTAAAGAACACAAATTCCAGCAGATGTTGCAAGCAATTATACCTTAGTTTGAAAACCAGCGGTACTTGATTAAGGATTTTTGATGACATACGCATCTTACTTTACCAACTCCATACCTTGACGTGCATCTATAGTATATTTATAATGTTTTACGTAATATCTTATCATTTTGTAATAACGACAAAGTAACAACTGTGTTGTTATTACAAGACGGTAAATCCTTATTACAAAGACTATGACGTAATATATCTGTTTCTCGGTGACCCGTATTAGCTTCAGAACCTGGATAAGAGAATTGTTTTATGTTGGTTGACCTGGGACTAACAATACAAATGAAGATGTCCGATTTTAACGTACAAATTTATGTAGAAAGAAAATGTTTTGTTGATCTAAAAAGTTGTTTACATTTTTTCACAACAGTGGCTAGAACACTTCCATCTATTACTTAGGAGCTGTACTAGCGTAATGATGTTTTATAGTTTGACCCAGCTGTTAGTGCAACATAATAATACTAATAATAAAATTGGAGGTTCTTATATACCGCTTTATCACAACCTAGTTCGTAGGTCGTCTCAAAGCGGTTCACATGTTGTTAGTGTTTCAATGACAGTTACATATAACTATAAATTCCTTAAAAAAATAAGGCTTTTGCCTATCATACGGTAATTTGTGAATATTGTACCTTTCCCAGTTCCCAGTAGTACGACTGACGTCACGGTATCTGACAGGACCACAACCACTGTGGCCTTGGCTGTGACCCCCGGTCCAGGGGGCTATGACGGGTATCGTGTCCAGATTGTCGGTGGTGGTATCCAACGTAACGACACCTTCTCACACAACACAACAGGTGATCGTCTAGTGGTCAGTGGTCTTACTCCAGGAACGACCTTCACCTTCACCGTCTTTACTCTGGCCAATGGATTGGAGAGCGAACATTTCCACAGAACTCAGGATTCAACAAGTAAGTGACGAGGAAAGTTTTAGTTATTTGATAACATTAGTAGATTTCTTGAAGGGATATGTTAAGTATTCTTTTTATATTAAAACAACTAATTCCCCTTTGATAACCACGGTAACTGTATTGTAACTCAGTGATGAAATTCCTTTAAAATTCCAATTTAATTGAAAGGTGACAAAGTAAAACGCGCATTAGATAACCCAACCGAGGATGCACCAACAGAAGGTAAGGACCTATAGACCTATAGGTCAGACGTGGCTATTAAATGTGATGTGTGTGAGAGTGGTTGGGAAATTTTCCCACTCTAACAGAAACTGTTGCTGGTAACAGTAAGCTCCTCTTGCTCGTTCTTTATTTCTACTCTTTAAGCATGTGACTTAAGTGATCACATTACTCAATATAGTAATAACACAGTCTTTCGTGTAAATGCTTCTAGGAATCATCTAAATATTGTTTCTACAGTGTAAGTTATATATTTAAATTCTTACTCAAGTTGAACTCAATGAAACTATCAAATGTAACCCGTTTCATTTGCCGATGAATTTTACTAGATTAACATTGCCTGTGCGAATGATTTTGCGAGGGGAGATAACTATTGATATGTTTAAACAAAGAATATACCACTTGATTAGATTTTACATTATTATTGAAGATACACAAGAAATTGTTCGAACGACCAAAAACGATTAACCAGCAAAATGTTATCAGCTCACTGTTACTAGCGGAAGTGACAAGTCATGTACTGCCCTAGAAATTCTCCCTCCAGCTAGCTACCCATTCTGTCTGCCTTTGGCGTCAGTATCAACCACCGGTAGTACGGTACAAATCGAAAACAACGTAGATCCATTTGGTCCCGTCTTATATGAAATGCAGCCGAACAGCTAAATGCCATATCAAATTGTTTCGTCCATTCAAAATATGGCAGCTTCACATTTAGCGGCTCTCCACTTCGAGCTAGTAAAAAAGGATGGCTGCCGTAGACTCGCAGCTGAGCCTGCTCACCGCGTCTAGAAATAATTCTTCCGCGATGACGCACCAGAAAAATTGATATCTTATTGATTCAGCAACAAAAATTAAATATGACACTTAAAATATGGTGTTGCGTTTAGTTTCTACATAATTTGGCTGTATTGAACTATCAACTTACCCATTCATGTTGTATGATGGTCTTTCTATGATGGACTATACTTTTTACATTACGTCAATACGTTAACTTTCACAAGCTCAAGAACCTGGGGCAAATTATCAGAACTCGACTTCACAAGCTCTAATTTTTGGAGAAAAAACCCACGCGCTGATTGAAATATAAGGATTGTTTCAAGACCAACTCAATTCATCACCCCATGAAATCGACCAAAGCAAGATTCAATCTTTAAATAATTTTACCAAATAATAAAGACCTGAAGTTCAGGAATATCATGTTGTTATCATGGTGACGATGTTTTTTTGATAACGTTTGTGTACAAATACCAAAAATAACCAGTTCGTATTTACAGTATTAAACATGTTTATTAGTAATGAATTTTTCTTTGCACGTTGAATATTTAGCATTTTGATTTTTCAAGTATTATTTTGTTACATTAAAGAAAGAAACTTAACAAACGCACATAATTTTAAAACAGAAGTTCTACTGTTTCTATATTGATTTCTTTTACGTTAAACAACATAGTATATTATGTAACTACACAATGATGCGTGAAATCAATTCATCTGTTGCCAATTTTTGCTTTCCAAATCTGTCAATTTTCAGTTAACAAATTTGTAATGGTTCCACAGATAAGTTATATATCATATCATAACCCTATACAAAGACAAACGCTACGGCTTAACATGGTTTTAAAGTACAAATGGGGATCATCGCGTTACTTTTGGAATGTTGTCGAACTGTAAAGATTACACAGAACATGTTTGGATACACTTATCTTTATTGTAGTTGTAATATGTAAACTAAAGTATATGTAATTACCAAGATAATAATGGATTCAAAGAACAGATGGTTATTATTACATACTATCATCGCATATCTACATTTAAAGTGCAACAAACAATCAAGTATTTGTATCAACATGAGGTAAAATCATTGCAGCAATATAGTGTTTGTAACGAAGAATCTAGTCAGACTATAATTAATGAATGATTTTCGGAATATAAGTTTTTTATTGTTTTAAAATATTTTATTGCCTTTTTTACATAGCAATAGAATTGGGCACAAGTTTTACAACTTATAGCATGCCCTTTCCCTGTACAATAATATTTTTTTAACAAAATTGCATGATGGCAGAACTACGTAAATAAGCTATGTATTATAAATTAATTAATCAGTGACATACATACACCCACACATTCACGCACCGAACCACACGCATGCGCACAAATATAAACATATACATGTAGATAAAGGAAGAGAGAGAGATAGGGGGATGGTGAGAGGGGAGGAGAGAGAGAGGGAGGAAGGGGTTAGAGGGTCTTTTTTTAAGAGTACTAGATAAGTACTGCAACAAGACTGTAAATTTAAGAAAATATATATCAGACCACGTGGTTGTTCCTTCTCCATGCGAACGGACTAGTTATACTATTCGTTGTTCACAACTTTCTTCTGATCAATGTTCATCACATCCCGTGCTATTATAACTTCCTCCTGTTCACTCCACTCTTGCTGGTATTTCCGTTTCAACTAGTCCGTCCGCACAGAGAACGACCAAACACACGACTTCATTATATTTATATATATATATAGGCATATTTGTATGTTGCAACTTATGTTGTCAATCTATTAGTATTAGTAAGATACATGTACTAATAAAGATGTCGATTTTGAGGGGTGGAGGGTGTTAAAATCTGTTCGAGTCTTGTATATATTGCTGAGTATTCATGAATATAATTTTGTTTTCTTGTTCCGAAATTGTTATATCTTCAAAAAGAAGTAGATTCAAAGTAAGGGGGATGTATGCATTCAGTTCACGATAAAGTTTAACATAATTATCACAGTTAAAAAAGAAATGGAAGGTGTCTTCAATAGGGTAACCACACATACAACGTTGGTCATCAACCAGGTTAGCTCGGAATAGGTCGTTTTTCAAAGTGCTAGAACGGTTTCTTAGTTTTGTATGTAGGATGTTATTTTTTCTATCACCGTAGAAAAAGTAATTGGGTACATGGGGCAAATGTTTGTCTCTAATGGCATTTTTAAACGATGAAAAAGAGGAGCTATGCCTAATACTTAAAGTCAACTCATTCCAAAGTCTTATAGTAGAAGGAAAGTAGGACATGTTCGATAACTCTAGTCTGTTGTTAGGCAGGTTGTAGTTTTCGGCGTTTCTAAGATCATATCGAGCATTTTCGACAAGAGGAGGGAGTAGAGTGTTTAGATAGTTAGGAGTAATATTATGATGAATTTTATAAAATAATTGCAGTTTCCGACGGGACCTCCGGTGGGCTAGGGATTCCCATCCCGTTTCAGTATATATACATGTAGATTGTCTACTAGCATAGGAAGGTAAACCGGTGACAATACGTCCTGCCTCTAATTGTAACTTTTCTAACTTGTCTGTATCAGTAAGAGTACAACCATCCCAAACTTCACAGCAATATTCTAAAATAGGAAGTATAAACGATCTATATATCTTATTTAATGTACGGCGGTTTAGATTATATTTCAATTTACAGAGAACACCTAATTGCTTGACTACTTTTTTTTACAAATATTGTCAATATGATAGCTACACTTACAGTTAGCATCGATGAATACTCCCAGATGTTTATGGTTATCAACAAAGTCTATACTGATATTATTAAAATATATTTCGATCAGGTGATCTAGTTCTATATTAGAAATAAGTAAAGCCTCTGTTATTGCAGGATTAAATCTAACTAACCATTTATCAGCCCACAGTTGAATATTTCTTAGAACGTTATTAATTTTTTGTTCTAATATTTGTGGGGATTTATCTGAACATGATAGAGAAGTATCATCTGCAAAAAGTTTTGATAAGCTTCCTAAATTATATGTATATCATTAATATAATGTATGAACAACAACGGACCTAAGACTGAACCCTGAGATACTCCTGCATTAGTTGTCTTAACAGAGGATTTACTGTTTCCAAAAAATACTTACCCGATATTCCATAGCAAGCTATTTTCACCTCAGCCCCCTGTGCCACACCCGATCGAATGCCTTAGAAATATCACAAAAGACCAAACAGGTGGGTTGCTTTTTTTCAAGATTGTCGCACAAGTTGTGGTATACCTATAATCTGGTGTACGGTAGAATGACCAGGTTGGAAACCTGACTGATACTTATATATATATATTTAGAGAATTCTCTAAAAGGTAGTTATGTAAATGTTTAGCAACTAATCTTTGAAAAACCTTACCAATAGTACTTAGCAGTGCAATAGGTCTATAATTTGAGGGGTCCTGTTTCACTAGAGCAAGCTTCCATTGTCTGGGGAAAGATCCAGTCTCAAAAGAAGAACGAAAGATTAAAGATAGCGGATAAGCAACTGAATTAGCAGTGTTCTTTAACATAGTATGACTAATTGTATCATTTCCTACAGCTTTACTAATTTTTAAAGTTTTGAGTATGTCAATAATGTCATTAATATTAAAGGGTATGTCTGAGATAGTCGAGTCTGTTCTGGATTCTATAACAGGTACGCCTGTGTCAGTATCGTCGATAGTAGAAATAGAAGCAAAGTAGTCATTAAGTATGTTAGTCTTTATGTCGTCATCCATTTCTATGTTTCCAGTCGCACTCCGTAATGGCGGTATCCTACCAGACGTTTGAGATGATTTTATTAATCTGCGGACAAGTTTCCAAAAAATTCTGGGATTTGTACACTAAAAGTGTCTAAAAGACCGTTAATGTCCGCGTAAAATAATTCTTTTGTTCTTTTTTTAAGATTGTTAACGCTATTTCGCTGTTTCCTAAGGTTGTTCAAATTATGTGGAAAGCGATTGGATTTATATTTATGGAGAAGTCTGTCTCTTTTCCTAATTTC